TCCAAAGAAAGGTGATCCCACAGAATGTAGAAATTATAGAACAATATCATTAATATCACATGCAAGTAAGATCTTACTGAAGATAATTCAGAAACGTTTGGCTGTGAAGGTAAGTTCTTGTGAACTTTTCAGCAGTAAGAAAGTCTATGTCATCTCCTAGCAGTTAATACAAATGTTTCTTTATCTCAAATGCTCTGCCTTCCTGGGTTTAGAGCCAAAATGACTGCCAGTCTCAAGAATGTAAGCTTCCCACAGGCCTGGGGCTTCAGCAGGGAGGGGAGGGACAGACATGCAGGGGCCCTCTGGCCAGGGCCATGGGGAAAGCCTTGAACATCAGTGGGGTACATATCTACAAAAGTGGTTCTTGGACTTCAGCTAGTGTCAGAAGCACCTAGAGGCTTTGTTAAAACAGATTTCTGAGCCCCAAACCCAAAGTTTCTGAATTCTTGGCGTGGGCTAAGAACTTATATTTCTAAAAGTTGCCAAGTGATGAGGAGGGTGCTGGTCTGAGGCCTGTCCTTTGAGAACTTTTGGACTAGAAGGAGAGCTTGGAGTTGTGGGGACCTGAGGCCTGGTTTCCTGCCCAGCCTTTCTCACCAGTCCCTTCCCTTCTACTACCTCAGTTGAATCAAATTAGTGACCACACACCTGGGGAAGGTTTCTGACTTGAAATGGTTCCTCCCTCTCAAAAGGCCTCCCTCCCACCCAGGAATTTTGCGTTCTCACAGCTTATGCCCCAAACACAGTGCCCGAGAGGGACTGCCAGCAGGTAGGGACTTCCATGAAAAGCCCACCAGGGAGATCCAGCCCACTGGAGGAAGACTCAAACTACCAGCCATCATGGGGAAGAAGAGCCACTTCTTTTGTCCTGAGGATGAGCAAAATTTTTTCCAAGGAAAAAATCCTCCACTGGAAAGCCAGGCTGAGTTACTATGGGGATTCAGAATGACACTAGAACCCCCATTCAGAATCAGATGGAGAATCTGGGTAATGAATCCTAACATCCCTCCTCTCAAAAAAGCTTCCTTCACTCTGACAGCACACGTGGACAAATATTTAAAAGCCATCAGTGGGAAAAGGGACCACATGCTTGGTTGCTCGGTAGGAGACGGGGCTGGGAGGTGAGTGGGAGGCAGCACTTCTCACTTGGGCCTCACCACTGATTACCTTCAGCTGTTGATTTGTCCGCTTTAGGAATTGAATCTCCTCATTGTGCTTCTTCTCTTCTACCTGTCGCCTCTCGTTCTCCCGCTTCTCAATGGCCTCACATTTCGCCTTCTGCTCATTCACTTGCCTCTCCAGATCTCTCTTTTCAGTTTCTAATTCTGCAATCTGAGGACAGAAAGCCCCAGTCATCCTGGGCTGTCATCAAGTGGACAAGGTGGTGTGAGTGCCTAGGTGAGGGGACTTGGGGAACAGCTGTCCAACCCAAGACATTGCCAGGGTCTGTACTGCCACCCAGTGGGACATAAGTGACTGGCAGGGAACATCCATGGGAGAGTCAACTGCTATGACCAAGGTGATCATTATAGCACACCAAGGGATCCTCCCTGAGTTGATGCAGGCCCAAGGGTCATGAACGTCAAGAGATCACCCGGTGAGAGGTCAGAATTTAGACCTGGGATGGTGGCCATGTAACCTTGGGATGGACAGAGAATCACAGACGGGCAAAGGCTCCTGGTGAACCCCACTCACTTTCCTCTCCATGTCTGACTTCCCCTGCTCAGCCTGCAGTGCCTTCCTCATGCCGAACGCCACACTGCTCTCGTACAAGGTCTGGTAAGCAGCAATGGTCATTCGGATCTCATCCCGGACTCGAAGCAGCAGCAGCCCCCGCTCCGCACAGTTGATGGTGACCTCACGGATCAGCTCATCTTCCAATGCACAGCCAGATCAGAGCAAGCAGGCAGCAGGAAAATGTACCATGTCTACTGCAAATCACCTTCCTACTGGGAGGGACTCTAGGAAGGGCATGTTGTCACTTGGAAGCAACATTTCAGGGGATGTCCTCAGAATAGGTGTATTGACTTTACAGCAACTAACAACATAGCTTGCCCACCCTTCTCCTCCATCCATAAATGCTGACCTGGATGTAGTCACTCAGAAGCCAGCTGACTAAAGCCTGTGGCTTGGGGATTAGTTTGCAGAACACTTGCCAGTAAGACTGGGCTGGGGAAAAGCCATTGGCATCAGCCCTTGAGAACCAAAAGCCAAACCAACCCATTGCCGCTGAGTTGATTCCAATTCATAGCAACCCTATAGGACAGAGTAGAACTGCCTCATCCTGCTTCCAAGGCTGTAAATCATTATGGAAGCAGACTGTCTTATCTTTCTCCCACAGAGCAGCTGGTGGGTTTGAACCAGGTAGATCTTAAATCCCTTTGTCTATTAACAACAAATTATCCTGCAATATTTTTCTGGACTCAGGGCCAAATGTTGATGGATATGTATAAATAAAGAAGATTATTTTTCTTATGAAGACATTAACACATACTTACTATACCAAACCAAAACCAAACTCACTGCCATTGAGTCAATTCCAACTCACAGTGAGACCCTTTGGGTTTCCAAGGCAGTAAATCTTTACAAAATTACATTGCCCAGTCTTCCTTCTGCAGAGTGGCTGGCGGGTTTGAACTGCCAGCCTTCTAGTTAGCAGTCAAATACCTCAAGCATTTGAGCTCCTTACACTTACTATAGAAACTTTAAAAAAAAGATTTAAAATGGAATATTAATACATATATATATTAACACTACATATATTAACACTCAAAAGGTCTTATGTTACTCTGAAATCTGTTAAGGAGTAAGGAACCTAGGTTGCCAGGAAGATAGTGACTGGCAGGTGGAGACTGATAGCAGAGGCAAGGCACAGGCAGTACTAGGCTTAGATATGTGCTGAAGGGGACAGGAAGTAAGCAGTATGGTGTGGAGTGTACCCAGCCCCACTCCCTGCCCAGTCCACTCACCAAAGCACTGTGAGTAGAGCTCCCTGCGGACAGGACAGATGCCTGTCTCCCGGGCCTGCCGCTGCTGCAGCTTCAGATCCAGCTGCTCCTGGAGATGTACCACATCCATCCTGGTGCTGGGAGTGCTGGACACTTGCTGGATCCATAGCTGAGTCTCTTCCACCCACTCCCTGTGGTACACACACAAGCCCAGCTGAGTGAAACCCACTGACCTGACAGGGCCCTTTGGACATGAGCAGAGAGGCCCTTGGAGTAGTCTGTCTGCACGGGAGGTGTGCAGCTCCAAAGCCACACCCACTATGCTGCCTCCCCAGGAACCTTACCTTGGGGCTAGTGGGTGGCCAATCCCCATTTCTCAATGGCCCAGCATGAAATCATCTCCTACTGTTAGAGATCAAACTCTCCTAATATGCTGAGGGCAGATTTATGGGCACTATCACTTGATCTAAGAAGCTCTGATAGCATAGTGGGTAAGGCATTTGTCTGC